TTTTTTTTTTTCTGTTTCTTTTTTTTTTTGTCGCTCTTTTTTTTTTTCCTTCTCTCCGTATTTATGTACGTAAATAATAGACGAGTTTGTGTGTTCTTTTTCTTTTCTTATATATTCTTTTCTTCTCTTTCTTACTATTATTATTACTTGTGATACACGTGCAACTGTTCTAACGTGTGTTTCTTCTTTTTTTTTTTCTTTTTTGGTATTCTCCCTCTTTGCCTTTTTTTTTCCCTCTTCACGTCCATACATGAAAACACAGCCGCACAGGAACAACTAGATAGATAGTATACGCCTCATACATACAAATATATATATATATATATATATATTAGATAGCTATATAAATAGATAGAGAAAAATAAAGAATACACGTCCTCACCTACACCCCCCACCCCCCTAATCATCCACACATATAGATAGATGGATACAAACACTACGATGTGAAATCCACCCACTCATGCCTTCATCAAAGTACCTTTCCTCTCTCTCTCTCTTCTTTTCTTTCCGTTTTTCGTTTTTTTTTTTTTTCTCTCTTTCCTTTTTTAAAAACACTCCGCAATGGCACGTACGGTGAGGAGTACATCCATAAAAGAGTTATACAATGGCACTGGTGCCAGTAACAACATATCCGGTGGTTGGTGATTCACCAGTACACCTTTATCCGCCAATTGTCGTTCCATAATCTCCGCATCACTATCCCCCACCGCTCCACAATCATAAGACTCCTGTGCCGTTATTCCCGATGCTAATTTGTGTGGAAGAATACGAATGGAGAGTTGTGCCCCGCGTTGATTGGGATCCACTGGGGTGATGACCTCCACCACAGCCGGTGGGAGTAATTCCCCCAGTAATAATTCCAAATACGCCGTTAACAACATAGACTTCTCCCGCAATGGTCCCATGCCAATAGCCGCCATTAGCCGCAGACTCGGCAATAGTGCCATCATGCCAAGGACGGGCACGTTACTAATTTGAAATCCCGCCGCCCCCTCCGCCGGCTCAAATGTGCGGTGTAAACTCTTCCGCAGTCGCCGGTCGTGGCCCCACCATCCACGCAATCCCTTCAGTTCATTACCCGCAAGTGTGTGTTTACTGTGCACAAAGGCCCCACCAAGATTACCAGGTCCACTGTTTAAATACATACAGGTAGACCAATAGGCAAAATCCACATCCCATTCATGTAAACGTAATGGTACATTTCCAGCAGCATGAGCACAATCCACACCAATAATAACACCACGTGCATGCGCTGCCCGCACTAATGCGGGAATATCCACAAGTTGTCCCGTAATGAAATGTACAGCACTTACCAAAAGAACCGCAATCTCCTCTCCACGTTTCTCAAGTATGGAAATAAACTGTTCTGTTGGAATAGGAACAGGCGTACTTTCCCACATTTCATGTCCAGGTGCCCCAACAAAAAGAAGATCTTCCGCAACATTCATTCCACGAGCTTCTAATTGTGAAGTGAGGGCGTGTGTATTACTTGGGAATGAGTGATTCTCCACCACAATCTTTCGTCGTTTCCCCTTTGGTTTATAAAAAGCCATTAACATAAGATGTAAATTCACACCTTGGGAATTCATGGAAACCACCTCACTCTCCTGTGCTCCCACAATAGAAGCCATTTCTTTTCTACCCAAACTATCCAACTCCACCCAAGGATTTGGATGTCTGTATTCCCCCAACACACCCAACTCCCGCCATTTCTTTAAAGCCCCACCAACACCAGACTCTACATCCCGGTGCTGCAGGCCAAGGGCATTACTGCATATATACACATAATCCGATCCATCACGTTGTTTGGGAATATAATAAGAATGACGGTGTTCCTGCAGGGGATCATTGCGGTCCATATACTCCGCAAAGTCATTCTCTGTGATGGAGAGAGACTCCATTCGGGCAGTGCTAAGTAATTTCTCAGCAGCGTTATTACGCATTCTTGCTTTCTTTCTTTCTTTTTACTTTTTTTTTTTTTTTTTATATTCCCCCACTTTTCCTCCCTATAATAATAATAACAACAACCACTTTGGGTTTTGGTTTGTTTGACAATATTATAATTTCCTTTTTTTCTCTTGTACTATTTTTTTCTTTTATTATTCTTTTTTTTTTTTTTTTTTGTGTGTGTGTATTGTACGCAACAAACTTTGTAATACTATAATAATAGGTATTCCTCTCACTCTTCTTCTTTTCTTTTCTTTTCTTTTCGTTCCTTCTAGGTATTTGCACGCAATATTTGTACGTGTACCCCTTTTAACGCTGTTTTTTTTTTTTTTTTTTACGTATAACTGACACTCTCTCTTTCTCTCTTTCTGGTTCTTTGCTTGTTTATTCCTCTGAGTGTCTTTTCTTCTTTTGTTTGTTTGTTTTTTCTTTTTCTTCTTTGTCGCTTTCCTTCCACTGTGAGAGTGGAATGTGACTTTGCTTCTTGATCCTACGCTATACATATACACACACAAATAAGTAAGAAAGAAAGAAAGAAAAATAATAACAAAAAGAAAAAAGATCATTTATTTACTTTCTTCAAAAAAAAAGAAAAAACATTTCATTATATTCCATATATATAAATATATATATGGGTAGATGTAGTATATATGATATTATATTAATATTATATGTACATATATATATAGAAACAACCACATAAGGTTAAAAAGAATCGTAAAATAGAGAGAAAAGCAATAAATAAATATGTACGTATTCATCCACTTTTTTTCCTTTTTTCGTTTTTATCAAAAATCCAAATAAAAAAAAAAAACACACAAGCAAATGGTAACAGTAATCATAATAATCATAGTAATAACAGAAGAAGAAGAAGCCAAACAAACAAAAAAAAAATCCCCACCCAATATTTCCTTTTATATATATATATATATATATATATATATATCCCATACTCTCTCTCTATTTAGTTATAATCTCCCTTCAAACTCCCGTTCCATTCCCATTCCCTCTTGTTCTTCTTCATCTGTGAACTTTGTGCAGCCGTCGGGAATCCCCCAACGCAAGTCTTCCCAAAACTTCACCGCAAATGCATGTAAATACCACGCCACTGTTTGTTTATATCCCTCTTCAAATGGTACTTCCTGCCGCCAACCCAACTCCTGCAGTTTATCCACATTAATACAATAACGTTCATCATTAAAGTCACGATCTTTTACAAATACGATATGTGCTGCTAATTCTTCAGCTGTTGGTTCCCGAAATTCCTTTTCTAATTTTTTATTATTTTTGTTCTGAAGATGATCATCATCAACGTTATTATTATTATTATTATTATTATTATTATTATTATTAGTAGTATTAGTATTATTATTATTATTTTCCTTCTCTTTTTGCCAATCTTTTGCATTTCGCATAGGTGGTACATACTTCAATGTCAATCGAGCCACATCCATCACACTCACTTCATCATGAGATCCAATATTATACACATCCCCAATATATCCACGGTTAATAATTGTAATAAAGGCTCTGGCCACATCACTGGCATGTATAAAGGTTCGTTTATTACTACCATTTCCCTGAACAGTCATTTTCTTCCCTGCATTCATCAGCATAATAAATCGTGGAATCAATTTCTCTGGATATTGATAAGGTCCATATACATTATTCCCTCGAGTAATAATACATGGAAGTCCAAAAGAAATATGATATGATTTTACAATATACTCTACTGCAGCTTTTGTAGCGGCGTAGGGATTTGTTGGATTTAATGTTCCCTCTTCCTTTTTAGAATCCGTTACTTGTCCATACACTTCATCTGTGCTCACATGTATAAACTTCTCTACTCGTCCATATGTTCTCGCACACTCTAAAAGGACATGTGTTCCAAATACATTATTATGTGTAAAGGAAAGACTATTACCAAAACTGTTATCTACATGACTCTGCGCTGCAAAATTAATAATTGTATCAATATCATAATGATCTAATAAATGCATAATAAGATCAGAATTGGTAAGATTTCCCCGTATAAAATGATAATATGGACTATCTGGGTTTTCAATAGATTTAAAATTACTGCAGTAATCCACCTTGTCAAGATTGTAAACATGCACATTCGGGTGTTCTCGCATGAAGAGATTGATGAAATTACTGCCAATGAAGCCAAGACCGCCAGTGACGAGAAGATGCCGCAGCGGCCGATTGTCCGTCAGTCGCGTACGCCGCAACTCCGCATCCTCCGGCCGGCGAAACATCCACAATAATAATAATAATAATAATAATAATAATAATAATAATAATAATAATAATAATAATAACAGCAATATATATATATATATATATATATATATATTTATCTATATATATATATGAGTAACTAACTAAAACAATAAAAAAAAAAAAGAGGAGCCAGCAAAACAAGCTCACTACTGCTACTATGAATGATAGCCCCCTTTTTTTTTAATTCCCCTTCCTTCCTGTTACTATTATTATTAAGATGAGTATATATATGTATATACATATATAGAATATTCAACGGAAAAATAAAAGGAGGAAGAAAATAATGTGAGAGAAGAAAAATGAAAAAAGAGAAGAGACATATGGGCGAGAATGCCTAAAGATGAATAGAGGAAAAAAGAAAACAAAAAAAAGAAAAAAAGAACTTATGATCAAAAAAAAAATAATTTTTTTTTTTTGTATTCTTCTTTATATATATATAAATAATAAAAAAAAAAGGAGAATTGAAAAGAACAAACAACAGGGAACGGAGAACCCCAAAGAAGAAGAAAAATGAAAAAAAGAGAAGGGAATAAGGAATAATAAGAAGAAAAAAAAGAGAACTATATATATATATATATATATATATATATATCCATCCTTTTTATCCTCTTTTACTTATTCACATCCCTTCCTCTTCTTTATCCTCATCATCATCATCTTATTTTTTTACTTGCTACCGGCGTTCTTCTTGGCGTGTGAGCGGGCAGTGACGGTGATCTTCTTCACGGATGGGTGAATAGAGCGCTCGATCTTGTCCGCCTTCTTCTTGTCGGCGATGACGAGTGTGTAGAGATAACGGCTGCAGCGCACCTTGAACTTTGTTTGCTTGTCGTTGTGCTTCACCTTCACACAGCGGGCATCCTTGCGGGAGCAGATGGAGAGAAACTCCTTCAGGTTCTTGATTTCACGGGGCATAGTGATAACGGTTTGGTTTGGTTTGGTTTAGTTTGGTTTAGTTGTTTCTCTAGCTGCTAGGTGAATCTACACACACACACACACACACAAAGGTTGAAGTGTCTGTTGGTAAAAATGTAAGTCCCTTCGTTCTCCTTTAATAATAATAGTAATATACCAGTGAAAAGAGAGAAAAGAAAAAAAAAGAAGAGAAGAGTTATTAATATATATATATATATATATATATATATATATATACAGATGGGATAAAAGAATAAATAAGAGAACCCACCCCAAACACACACACAGACACAGATATTTATATATATAGAAGATATTAAAAAGTAAAAAGAAAAGAAAAGTATTAAAATTGTTTCACATTGTTTTCTTCTCCTCGCTAAAACAGTTACACAAGTTCTCAAATAATAATAATAAATAAATAAATAAATAAATAACATTTAAAAGTATCTATCTTTAATATTAATAGACCTACCCTTTTTTGGGGACGGGCCTGTTTACTCCAATCTTCACTTCAAAAAGAATATATATATATATATATATAAACATAACATTTAGGAGTAGATAAACCAACACCAGCGAAAAGTTACTCAGGCTTTGAGAATTATTGAATTTTATTTTTTATTCTTCTATATATATATATATATATATATATATATATATATAACCAAGATTTCTATGATAGCATCATCATTCTAATTCCCATAGAGAGAAGCAAGAATAAAAACATCAACAATGAATAACAAAAAGAAAAATAATAAAAAAAAAAAAGGTGTTCTATACAATTCTATTCAAGGTAGACATCCAACAAGGACCTCCACCCGCACCGCACCTCTCCGTGTGTACACACACAGAAAAGTAATATTATCACCCACCAAATACATTTATTTCACATATCTATTCCATATATATATATATATATATATATATATATATAGTGTATACATTTATATAAAGAACTAAACTCCCACAATAACTGCCAATTCTTGAAGAGCCTCTGCAAGACGATTCTCTGCCCCATCGCTGCGTGTAGTGAGTGCCCGTGTGAGGGTCTCTGTTGGCCACGCAGTGGTGAATGCAAAGACATCATCGCCACCGCGTTTCTGCGGACGTGTGAGAACTCCAACATCTGCGAATCCATCAATGGCAGCGGCAATACCAGCGGGAGTCATCGCAGGGAAACGACGACGAGCCATAAGTGCGGTGTACAGTCGATGAACAGCCCGCATCGTAAAGGTCCCAGGCTCCATTAATGAATTATGTATATTCATATTATTATTATTATTATTATTATTATTATTATTATTATTATTATTATTATGTGTAGATCGACGTGTGGGTGGTGGGACTCCAGTTACGGTGGACTGTGCCAATTGTTTATCCCGCTGCTGTCGCTGTGCCAACACCACCAGACAACTGAGTACATACAGCATCTGCTCTGGCATATTAGAAACATATGTAAATACATGATCCGAGACAGCAGCAGGTCCACGTAATACTTTCTGACTCTGTGCTAATGTTACCACCGTCGTCGTAGTAGGAGTAGTATTCTTATTATTAACATTCTTACTATTATTCTTATTATTATTATTAATATTCATATGTGTATGAGAGAGTGCGGCTGGTGGAGAGATGGCACTATTCACAGCTCCCGCATGTGTACTACTACTCACACTACTCGCCGTACTGTACCGTCGTGGGGTTTCTTCCATCTGCACAGCGGCCCGTTGTGTGGGTGATGGACTCTGCAGTTCCTGTTGAGCCGTATAAACTAATCGTCTACACATCGCAGCAACCTGCCGTACATCTCCAGAGTATTCCAATATGGCTTTCTTGGCAATATATGCAATTAGACCAGGACTGAGTTGGACATCTTGTCGTTCCGCATTTGTAAAGTCTGCACTTGCGACAATACGGGCTCCAATACGTTCTAATGTTTCCACACTGTAAGCCTCAAAGGGAAGTTCTTTTAATAACATGTGAGGAACATGAACTAACTCGCGTTGATTAGATATAAAGATAAGAGCTAATTGAGAGGATAACTCCACTGAGAGGGCAGACAAGGCAGTTAATACTCCACGAGCAGCCGCTCGCACATATTCCACTTCATCCAATGCGAATATATGTAATGGCGTTGTTGAAGAAGTTGTTCCTTTTCTCTTTCCCACAACAGAGAGTATAGACATATTATCTCTATCTTCTTCCTCTTCTTCTTCCTCTTTTGTATTTTTCTGCCGACGTTTAGATGCTGTCATTTCTTTAGGGAGTGTTTCTATCCGCTGCATTAACTCTCGTGTATGTATATCCATACGTGGCTGGGCTGTGCGGAAACTACTGGCGAGCGCATCACACAACTGCTGAGAGGACATATCGGCACAATTCACATAATGACACTGCACTCGCCGTTGTTTTCCCAATCCTTGTATGAGTGCTGTGGACTCCATCGCACTTTCCTGAAAGGCATCTTCTAAAGAAAGGGATACTCTCCCATTAGCCGCTCCACCTTCTTCTTCTTCTTCCATACTGCTCTTATTATTATTATTATTATTATTATTATTATTATTATTTTCTTCACGTTGTCGCTTTACAGCTTGTCGCTTAGCGGCTGGTGAGTTCTCTTCATTTCCTCCTTTCACGGAACGTTTTTCTTTATTAGCCGCATCGGCCGCGGCTTTATCAAATGCCATTGGGCGATGAGTAACTCTTCGCATTGCCCGATGAATGGTGGATGTTTTCCCACAGCCGCAGGCCCCAAAGACAAAGAGAGATTTACAATGTGTTAATGAGAGACGTTCTTCAATAAAGCGATGGACCTCATTATATTCACGCTCTCGACCAAGCAGGGGAGTGTTTTCCATTTTGGGGAATGTAATATAGATAAGATAAGAAAAGAAAAAAGTAAAGTTTGCTTTATTTCTTTCTCTCTCTTTCCCTGTATGTATTCAATGTGAATTCTTCTCCCTTATATGCTTTTTTTTTTTCTTTTCTTTATTTCTTTGTTTTTTTTCTATAATTGTCACCTCCGTCTTGATTTCTCGTGAGAAGAGACTTTATGAGTTGTATATATATATATATATA